CGTTTCAGTTGACTTGGATATTATACGTCAGCTCGGGTTCCCAGGACAACCATACCATCTGAAAGTGGCAAGCCCACGCAAACTGAGCGGTTCATCAACACAGACTCGTCTATGTGACCGTTTTTGAAACAAATGGGGCCAAATCCACGTCAGCAGCCACGTTGCGTTTCCAGACAAAAATGTCCGCTATCACCAGGTCGGGATTGATATGTGCAGTGTAATATGCGGCGTTCGCGCCTCAAACAAGCGGAGTAGCGGCATAAGCTCACCCTTGCCGCTCGTGCCTATGCTTGCCAATCCGATTCGGTATTGCTACGAATGGGGGCGAATGCACGTCAGCAGCCACGTTGCGTTTCGAGCCGAAAAGGTCCGCTATCTCCAGGTCGGGGTTGATAGGTGCAGTGTAATATGCGGCCTTCACGCCTCAAACAAGCGGAGAAGCGGCATCAGCTCACCCTTGCCGCTCGTGCCTATGGTCGCCTATGTGATTCGTTTTTGCTACGAATGGGGCCGAATCCACGTCAGCCGCCACGTTGCTTTTTCAGACAAAAAGGTCCGCTATTACCAGGTCGGGCCTGACAGGGACAGTGTAATCACCGGTCTTCGAGTATCGAACGAGCGGAGTAGCGTCAAAACCTCCCCTCTGCCGCTCGTGCCTATGCTCGTGTATATGATTCGTATTTGCTACGAATGGGGCCGAATGCACGTCAGCAGCCGGGTTGCGTTTCCAGAAGAATAGGTCCGCTATCACAAGGCCGGGGCTGACAGGTACAGTGTAATCACCGGTCTTCGAGTATCGAACGAGCGGAGTAGCGTCAAAGCTCGCCCCTGCTGCTCGTGCTTATGCTCGTCTATGTGACCGTTTTTGAAACGAATGGGGCCAAATCCACGTCAGCAGCCACGTTGCGTTTCCAGACAAAAATGTCCGCTATCACCAGGTCGGGATTGATATGTGCAGTGTAATATGCGGCGTTCGCGCCTCAAACAAGCGGAGTAGCGGCATAAGCTCACCCTTGCAGCTCGTGCCTATGCTTCCCAATCCGATTCGGTATTGCTACGAATGGGGGCGAATGCACGTCAGCAGCCACGTTGCGTTTCCAGAAGAATAGGTCCGCTATCACAAGGTCGGGGCTGACAGGTACAGTGTAATCACCGGTCTTCGAGTATCGAACGAGCGGAGTAGCGTCAAAACCTCCCCTCTGCCGCTCGTGCCTATGCTCGTGTATATGATTCAGTTTAGCTCCGAATGGGGCCGAATGCACGTCAGCAGCCGGGTTGCGTTTCCAGACAAAAAGGTCCGCTACCACCAGGTCGGGCCTGACATGTACAGTGTAATCACCGGTCTTCGAGTATCGAACGCGCGGAGTAGCGTCAAAACCTCCCCTCTGCCGCTCGTGCCTATGCTCGTGTATATGATTCGTATTTGCTACGAATGGGGCCGAATGCACGTCAGCAGCCGGGTTGCGTTTCCAGACAAAAAGGTCCGCTACCACCAGGTCGGGCCTGACATGTACAGTGTAATCACCGGTCTTCGAGTATCGAACGAGCCGGAGTAGCGTCAAAGCTCGCCCCTGCTGCTCGTGCTTATGCTCGTCTATGTGACCGTTTTTGAAACGAATGGGGCCAAATCCACGTCAGCAGCCACGTTGCGTTTCCAGACAAAAATGTCCGCTATCACCAGGTCGGGATTGATATGTGCAGTGTAATATGCGGCGTTCGCGCCTCAAACAAGCGGAGTAGCGGCATAAGCTCACCCTTGCAGCTCGTGCCTATGCTTGCCAATCCGATTCGGTACCGGCTGCAGCCTTGGAGCGTGTCTTAGCACCGCTCTTAGCAGTGCCACGAGGCATGTTAACGGTCGAAGTGGAGACCTTGACAAAGAGCGCACAGGTTGCTGCTCGAGGCTCTAACTGTAAAGTGAGCCTCCGCCGCGCTCGCGCGGCCGAGTCGATGGTTTTCGACTTTGAGAAAGAGAGTTTGTGACGAACATCTCTTCATTCTGATTGGTCGGTAAACCGAACCTAAGTGGGGGAGGATGTACCGGGGTACGTAGCACTAAGTGGACCCTGGTTACATGGAAGTGTGACACTTCACACTTCAGGAGTATGACACGTCATACTCCGAGATATTTGGTACAAAGGTACCAAGGTCGTTCAAATCCAACCAATGGTTAAATGACATTGCATTTCTATAGGTAACTAACAGTTTGTATTAACCCCAAACTTAATCTACCTATAAATATACTCATTTTACAATCTACCTTATTTGGGTCACTTCGCTCTCTTTAATAAAAGAGGGGACCTGTGAGCTGCCGTTCACTGAGAGTTTGTATACTCTCGGAAGATAACTTCCTCTTGCGCAAGGTGCTGTGTGACCCCGTCACAGATTCGCTGTGTATCCGATCAACTAAGTCAAGGAATCCAAGCTGAGCAACTCTATGCTGGATCAACGTGGAATTGATCAACACTCTGCTCATGCGACGCTTATCCGCTATCGACCGCATCTCCTTGCACTCTTGAGTTCTGACAACCAGCCAAAGCACTTGTCCGAACCCAATCAAGGGGCTGCACTGCAGGGCTGCCGATTATGGCATGGTCTTGTCAATAATTTCTTAAGAAATCATAAATATATTTATTTCGTCGACATCACGAATGCAATAAATAATTTATTTATCTCTACCATAATTTAAGAAAAGAGTTCTTCATCATTTTGCTATTCACACCCTCCATGCTGTCCTCTTCCAAGGAACTTGCCCCAAGCGCCCACACTGATCACGCCTCTATAGACTACAATTCGCCGCAGCAAAACTTGCACGGAGATTTAAGCTT